TTAGTCTGTAGTCCTCTAGGCTTTTTTCAAACTGGCTGATAACTCCCGGATCTCCTTTGTGGGGGCATTCTCGGAATGTGTGGCCTATCTTTTGGCATCCCCAACAATGGATCGAGGATGTTTTGTCACTTTCTTCTTCGATGTTGAATGCTTCTTTGGCGGCACTCATGCATGCTAGCATTGTTAGGGCAGCTTGTGGGCAGTATAGTTTGCTGTCTGATGTCGGGACCAACAATTGTCTTCCTTGTCCGTCGGTGACTCGAACATTTTGCTCTGGTGCTGGAGGGGTTGTCAATGCGGTGTGGAAGGTTCCATTGGTCGCAATCTTTGGAGTTTGGAAGGAGCAGTTGTCTTGGAATTCTTGGAATCCTTGTTGGTGGAATCCCGCAAAAGCTCTTCCTCCTGGTCTCGTTGGTGCAGATGGTCCTGGAACGCAGCTTCCCACGAGTTGCTTGATGCGCTTCTCTTCTTTCTCTGCTTGTTCGCGTAGGCGGTGCATTCAAGACAGGTTGCTGGGGTAGTCCATAAGTAGTGGTCCTGCTGCTCCTGTCTCTAGGTGTTCAGCCACAACGTCCTTGATTTCTTGTGTGAAGGCTTGGAACGCCACTCCTGCCAAGTCTGATAGGTTGGTTGGCGGGGGATTCTCGTGGTTGAACCCATTTAGAATCGTGGCAGTTCTGCCAAATAAAGTAGCCACGCTGTCGTACATCATTGTGCCTCCTTCGTATCGGATCATGTTGAGTTTTGCCAGTTGTTGGTTTGGCGTCTCCATTCCCTGTTGTAGTCCAACGTAGGTGGCTGTGAGTGCTTGTTCGAGCGCTTGGAATTGGGTCTTTGCGATCTGTTGCTTGGACCACTTTTCGTATCGGGCTCTCCGTCTCTGGTCGCAGCTCTCATCGAGAACTCTTCTCCTAGTGCTGCCATTGCTGCAATGATTTCCTTGTGATGTGCTTGGTCCATTACCATTTGGCGAGTGATAGATACGTCCATCTGGTTCTGGACTCTTGGCACTGGTACGTATACAGCTCTGTTGGAAGATGGTGGGAACTTTGTTGGGTCGATTCCAATGTCAGTTTGTAGGGAACACAGCCGTGGGACCAATCGGAGCTCGATTTGGAAGTATGTGGCAGCGGCTCTAAATGGTGCTGGAAGTCCTGGTCCCGGTCCTGTAGCAATCGCTTGTCCCATGTTGTCGATGACGTGCAGGCTTGTGAATTCGTACACGTCACTAGTCACGTCGAACAATTCGCTGGTGGCGGCGTTGACTCGCGAGCGAACGTCTGGGCATACTGATGTGTAGCGTTTCATCAAGAAATCCACCTTGTGTTCCATTGTTGTCTTTGTCTGCTTGATGGAGTTCACAGACTGTTGTAGGATCGCTTGCTTGATTTCCGGAGACTCTGTGGTTGGAGCTAGGACGGCAGTATCGATGGTATACTGGTTGTAGGTGATGGTTTCGTCCACGTAGCTTCCGTTGACCCAATACGATTTCTTGTTGATGCGATCGCTTCTTTTTCATTTTTTTCATATTTGTGATGCGACGCGGCAGTCATCGCGGCGAACGCTGCATTCTCCATATTGACAGGACTTGCTGACATCATAGCAAACGCGTTGCGCTGGAAATCATCAGGGTTGAACTGTCCTCCCCATGTGTTGGCCGATCGTGTGAACAAACTTGGTGGCTCTGACTGCGAATGGGGGCTTCGAATTTCGGGCTGGCTTCCACTTAACGTCACAACGTTGTGCTCCTGACTCTCATCGTGGAGAGAGCGTATTAGTGCATTGATGTTGACAGAAATAAATGAATAAAGACTATAAGCCTATAGTTGACTAGTTCCTACAAGTTGATCGGTATCAATTCATGTAGCTACTGTTGGACATGATAGACGGTGATTGATATTGCTATTGGGGTGTATTTACGGGGGTCTGAAGCAGCTGTGAGTAGATGATAGATGATTGATCTTGGGCTTGAGATTGGCGACGACCGTTGGCCTTCGATCGCTCTAATATATCTGCTCGGGACTTGGCAGTCCAGTCAGTCACGTTACGCTAGTTTGTCTGCTGATGTCTGGAACACCCGGCAAATGACAAAAATCCGTACCGCGCGGGGTCGACTGTGGGAATTCTGATGTCTTTCAATGGGCGATCCCTGCCTTAAATATATTTCAGTTTTTAAACAATATCATTTTCACAGAACAACTTTATTTTCGATCTTTTCTGATCCTAATTCTGTAAATAACAACGGGTCATTTGATGGTCGCAGGGTCATTAAGAAACTTCGAATTCCAAATCATATCAATAGACGGAATCCTGAAGTTGGGAGTTATAACTCATTGCGAGGGAATCCTTGAGTTATAACTCACACGTTTGAGTTATAACTCAAACGTGTGAGTTATAACTCAAACGTGTGAGTTATAACTCAAACGTGTGAGTTATAACTCAAACGTGTGAGTTTTTAACGTGTGAGTTTTTACTCAAACGTGTGAGATTTTACTCAAACGTATGAGATTTTACTCAAACGTGTGAGATTTTACTCACCGAGCCCAGCTTCCCCCCCTTTTCCAAAACCGTTGCTGGAAATTCGAGCTGGCGGACCAACGACTACTTTCACCAAAAGATACAGTCCTGTACTTTTCCAGATCCAAACCCTATAAAAGAACTTGTCACGCAACATCATTGGGACAAAAACGAGTTCTACGGCGAGGCAGGAGGTGAAAGGAGAGAGGCTTTCAGCCGCTTCCTCACCAACAAGGTCAGAAGAAAGGGTTTTGGTTGGAAAGAATACGTTGATTTGCTGGATGAACGGGAAGTTGACATGTCAGCAAACACGGAGACGCAGCTGGCAACGGAACTTCAAGCCAAGGGAGGGCCAAACCATGCCGTGGTGAACGACGCTCGTGCTGTTGCGTTTGCTGTGCTTGATTCTGCTAATGAAAAAAAAAACTACACTCAACCTGTTATTTCTACTAAAAATTCTGACATCGCCATGGACGACCTTGCGCAACGCTCACGACAAGGCAAGAGACAAATTGTTACAGGAAGATTTGATTTTGGTTGATGACCTGGCCAAGCACCCAACAACCACCCATAACGCACGTGGCGAGCTCAAGTTTTATTTGACGAGGGCAAAACAGAAAAAAATTCATGTTGGCCTCACAGCATCTGAGTTTCAAGAAACTAGGGTTGAATACCACCCATTCAAAAAACGAAAATTCAGAGAGCGGATTCAACAAGAAATTAGATTTCAAAAGTACCGCAACTATCTGGAGGATAAAAGAATGAACAAGCTGGTGAAGTTGAAGAAGGAAGAAAAGAAAGAGAAAAAGAAAGAAAACTTGTTGCTCTATGAACAACGTATGAAAGTAGCAATGGCCGAAAAGGAGGAGGAAACAAAGAAGCAGGAGGAAGAATCGCCGATGTCTGAGGACTCGCAAGTAGTAATAAAATTGTATTAGGTATGTGGTAAATTATCCTAGGGAGGGTGACCGTTATTCATTTGGAATTGGACTGTTCCAACAATTGCAAGGACATATTTTTGATCGGCAAGACGGGAGACGTATGGGCGTTTCTAGCTCTTCCTTAGTCTCAATTTCCGTTGTGTCGATTACGGCGCGTCGCTTCAGTGAAGTACACGGTTGGCGGACGGAGCGAAGAGTGTCGATGAAGAGGGCGGAAGATTGGAGAAGACATTGTTCGCAATGGGAGCTTGTGGGATGATGGAGGCAATAGAAGGAGTTTAGCTGCTTGGTCAAGACCGTCAGCTTTTTTGCTTTTTCCCGCCCTCACCACCCTCTCTCTCATTTGCACCATAGCTCGGTACCCCATTTGGTCCGGGTCTGTCTGTCAATCCTATTGATTGTCCCTTTTCGAATCCTATGATTCGACCTTGGTGCAAACCAGTCACTAACTTAGTACCTCGCTACTGTGCCAAACCTACTCGCTTCTTGTATGTAGCATCAGGCTTTTGCCACAGTTTCCATGGTAGCATACGTGCGCGATCTCTCCAGACAAAGACTACATCATGCGATTCAAGCCCAGGAGTGGAGGCGGCGCCGGGTAATCTTCGATTATTGATGTTTGTCTCTCGAATATTTGAACGTGTCGTCCAAAATAATAAAAAGCACTTAAATCGACGATTAAAAGTTTCATGGCGAAGCCGAGCACGTTACTTATAATACTCGTGGTTTTCTTTGGAGTCTGTGTTGCATCTCGCTTGAAGCTGCCCTTCCCCCATTGGAGAACATCATCCCCCTGACATTTTCTGAGTACGTTTGAGTTATAACTCACACGTTTGAGTAAAA